GATTGTTGATTTGGTGGGTTTTGGTTGTGGGAAAGAGGATTTGTAGTGAATGATGAAGCAGAAATCAGAAAATAATGGCAAGAATTGCGTAATGTAACTGTTGTTATATGTCTGCTGGTTTTTGGTAAATCCCATTACGTGAATGGTAAATTTTATTATACATGCAGTTAATTATGAAAGTTAATACATTGCCCTATCTAAAAGAACTCGTACTCCCTGAGATTGTCGTCGTCGAAGAGGTCGCTAAAGTAACATCAACTGTAATACACAAGTAGGAAGCTTAAAAATTATTCTTCATAAAGCATTTTTGATGGGTTCCCACAGCTTAAAATGTTATTGCCTAGCATTCCTCTTTTTGGTTCTGTCTCTGTTCTTCGCATAAAACCATTTTCAGAGAATGTGAAGCTGTCTGGTTTTCTAGTATTATTAAACCATTTGTCCTGAATTTTACAAAACACATATTGTGATTTACAACTTTTGTAGTGAAAGTGACTACTTTTTAATGGGTTTTGAAACCTGTTTTCAGGAGATAAACAACTTGTTTGTAAAAAGTAATAAAATTCCACGCTAAATTTGACAAAACGTATAGTGGGATTTACAACTTCTGTAGTAAAAATGACCACTTATTCAATGGGTTTTGCAACTTGTTTTTAGGGGATGGGCAACTTGTTTCTAAAAACTAATAAAATTTCATACTAAATTTGACAAAACACATAGTGAGATTTACAACTTTCGTAGTGAAAATGATCACTTCTTCAATGGGTTTTGTAACATGTTTTCAAGGGATTGGCAACTTGTTTCTAAAAACCAATAAAATTCCATGCTGAATTTTACAAAACATATAATGATATTTACAACTTTTTTAGTGAAAATACCACTTCTTAAATGGGTTTTACAACCTCTTTTCAGGGGATGAGCAGCTTGTTTCTAAAAATTAATAAATTTCACGATGAATTTTACAAAACACACAGTGATATTTACAACTTTTATAGTGAAAATGACCACTTCTTAAATGGCTTTTGCAACTAGTTTTCAGGGGATGGGCCACTTATTTCTAAAAGCCAATAAAATTTCATGTTGAATTTTACAAAACATATACTGGGATTTACAACTTTTGTAGTAAAAGTGACCACTTTGTTAATAAGTTTTGCAACATATTTTTGGAGGACGAGTAACTTACTTTTCACCACCAATAAAATTTCACACTGAATTTTACAAAACACATAATGTGATCCACAACTTTTATAGTGAAAGTGACTACTTCTTCAATGGGTTTTGTAAACCTGTTTTCACCGAAAGAGCAACTTGTAAGCATAAATAAATCATTCAGTGAACGTGCACCTGAAGTACATCACAATAAACATTGAACTATTAACTTTCATAATTAACTACATGTATAATAAAATTTACCATTCACGTAATGGGATTTACCAAAAACCAGCAAATATATGACAACAATTACATTACGTAATTGCTTGCCACTATTTTCTGATTTCTGCTTCATCATTCACCAAATACTGAATATGAACCCTCAAATGCAATAATCCTGTTCCTATTTCACCATGAAACAGCCACAAAAATGAATAATCCAAATCCCGCCATCAACTTCTACTCACTCATGAATAATCCAAATACTTCAGTGACCTCTTTGACGGCGACAATTTCAAGGGTACAAGTTATTTCAGACAGGGCAATGTATTTCAGCGATGGTAACCAAATTCAGCGACGGCAATCTACTACTACGACGGCGGCAACATGATTTCGAAGAACCCTTTTTGGTGACTGCAGGAACTTGGATTTAGTTTCGTAGAAGGAAATCAGTTTCTCCCTTTCTCTATCGCATGAATACACTGCTCAATGTTCAGAGACAATCAGGGCAATTCGGTCATTAGGCCAAAAATCTAAATTCCAAATTGGTACCCAGTGCCCTATTTGTCATTTTGCTTATTCAGGTGCCTTATTTGTCTTTTTGAAATTCAGGTGGTATTTTGTTGTCATTTTCCCTTAGTTTTTCCTTTTTTAAATTAATACTTTATCAAGAAAGAAGTAGAGGGGCCTATATACAAGTATGACATATATGTTCTTGCCGAATTAATATCCTTGTCTCTCAAGTTTGACCATTCGATAATGGCAATTATATATGGACCTAGTTAAGACATGCATAAAGTTCTATCTTAAACAGAAATAATCATTTATTTTCAAGACACCATTTTCCTAATACTTCTCTAATCATCTAGGCACCAGGGCTCCAACCATTTTATTGGGGCTTGATGGTCAGTGATGGAGGAAGTTTTTTCTTTTACACAAGGATAACATGGAACCATTCTTTCCCCAGATGGAACATTTTGGGTTCGCATGGATCATCACAGCCTGATGTGGGAAGTAAACCACATGATGAGTTTGTTGTGTCGTCGAAGGGGAAGTAAATGTCTCCAAGACCTTCACAATGAAGAGTCTATATATGGACACGCAACTGAGACAGGAAGTAGAGAACACCACAGACAAAGCAAAGGAAGCAGGGAATCGGGAGTGACCATGCTAAAATTCATGACTTTTGGAAGCCAAAGTATGCGGATTCTCATGACGTTGACAACCTCCTTGGCTAAACCTTTGTGTCAGTAAGGGTCCAATGAATCTGTGTGTTTACTACGTTCGCTGACTTGGACATTGACTTTGAACAAGACTTGGAAAAGTTGCCTGGAAAATAAGGGTAAGGGCTAACCCATTCCTACTCAGCTTCCTCAAACATCATGTTAGCATGACTTGAATAATAGTCCATGGTTTTGCCCCACCTTGAAGTTGCCACAACGGCAAAAGGACCAGTGACAGAAGCTCCAAGTTTTAATTAGTTACTAATAATGATTTTAAAAGTAGCCTAGTATATTCGTCTTCAGGGTCAAAAAGTATTAAATTTTACTTCTTTCACTCATTTATGAAGCAATCACCAGGCACACGATGTTTACGCGTGTGGCCCAAGACATCAAGAACTTGATTGGATAATTAGAGTCCAATGAAGAAAAAGAAGACAAGTAAAGAGAAACTCAGTGCTTCTGATGTTGACAGGGTTCTGAAGATTATTTGAGAGTATTCAAAACGCGTTTTTGTCATTTGTTCAGATGATGTGAAAGCATGGATAATTATATGATTTTATTCCTGATGGAAAGCACAGGATGGTTACAAGATAGAAATAAACAACTTATTTTACTTTAGAATTACAGTTATACTTAATTATAGACAACAATTTATTTTAGTTGAATGATTGTTGTACTCATGCAAATTTAAAATCTAAAACACAGGTATTGTTTCTTTCATGTTATACGAACAATTTGTTTTACTTTAGAATATAAATAATACTTAAGTTATATAGGTCTAAGTAATTGCGTGGGATAAAAGAGATATAGCTGAAAATGAGTAAAAAGGAAGTAAAATTACCTATTAGCAATCCTACCTTCATTCCAAGCCCATCTTTTGTTTTGACGTTCTGTCTCAGTTATATCGTTTACAAAATTCAAAGAAGTAGGTATGAAATGGACAAATTAGTGTCGAGTTATTTAAAATAAGCAGGGTTATAGTTTAAGAATTGCTTTGAAGAGCTAACTTTGAGCCTAATATTACATTGGTAAAATGTTGTTGTTTGTAGTAATGGTTTTTTGAAAGGTAGAGGAAAAGAAATTGAAGAAAGTTGTGCATAATATTTTTAAGGCGTGCATAATAATTTTTTTAGGCTTAATTCGTCCTACCTCTTTCAATATGAAGAAGTGAATAATTAGGTTGATTGGCGAATTATTTTGGTGAACAAGATTTACAAGGCTTTAATTCCATGTCCTTTGATGCTTTCAATATCAAATCTCTTGTGAGACCTTTCACCAAAGGATATGAAAGATTTAATTGAAATTTTATATAATTCATGGAAATTACTTCATTCATATTCAAACCCTTTATATAATAATATCTTTATCTAATATATCGTGAAACTTTGCCGTTAGATGCAAAGGTGGACTAACTAAAAAAAAAAATCTTTGCCTTACCTTAGTACTAAATTTCTTTTATTTGACTCCTAAGTTGTTTTTCCTTAAGAAAAGTGACGAAAGTTATTAAGCACTTTAAATTGACTGGACTGCTGAAATCGAAAGTTTCACCATTTAAATTAGAAATTTCCTATCCGTGACTTTTAAAAAATTTTAGAAGAACTTGTACAGAATTCACTCCCTAGCCGTCAGAGCAAACACCCACCAATGACGGCAGCTCAACCGGTGGGAAAGCGACTGGTAACAGAGGGAAGGATGGAAATTTTCTTTCAATTAATCAATGGGCATTTTGGTCAAGATATCATTCTTTTTTTCCTTTTTGCTGAGAAGGAAGGTTTTGAAACATAATATACTAATTATAATGTATTATAGTAATAAATTAGATAATATAATCAACATTACATAAATTAGTAACTACGTAAGCCATATTCAATCTTACATGAAGTAATGTATGGACAATACATCTATATCTTCCATGAATTTCGTTAGGCATTTATACTTTTCATTTTTAGCCTAATTAAGGGAATATCAAAGATCATTTCACATTTATTTTTATTTTTTTATATAAAATTAAAATTTCATTGTTTTTTAATGATACATCAAACAAATGTTCTATAATCATTGTTCTATTACACTAAATTGCTTATGATATTCTTTGAAGCAAACAGGCACTAAGAGAGATTTTACGTTCGTGAAATGTGACTGGAATGAGATGAAAGGAAAGTCTATATAGCCAGAAGCATGATACTTACAAAGGAGGGGTGAACTCATTGCGACGTCTTCATATATAATACGAGTATTCAACAATCGTCAACAACAATTGGTTCAAATAGTAAAAAATCAACTCATAATTCACATATAATTGTCCTAGTTTTGATGAGTCTTGAGACCCAACTAATTACTTAACTGAACGTGTGTGTGTGTATATATTCAAAAAAGAACAATCGCATGCCCAAAACTTCTTATTAAAAATTAAACGCTAAACAGCTTTGCTTGATCAAATTTTCCATTTGCCCATTTCTGGATCATGTCCTTTGGAGAAGATGCTGACTTGAACAACTTTCCCTGATCAAAGCTTATTGAAGTCACTGCTCGTGCTTGTATATCTGCTTTATTCTTTAAAACTTCACCTCCATCTCCGTCTTTCACTGCATCCTCTTCTTCTTTACCACCTTCGATTTTCCTCAAAACCTCTAAAACCTCATCAATGGAAGGCCTCATCTCCTTATCTATCTGCAAACACTGAAATGCCAATTCTCCCATTGCAACCACCTTCTTCATCACCTCACCATCCTTCTCAATCCCCAAACATGGATCCACCAGCTCCACAAATTCATTCCTCTGAATTTTCCTAACTGCAAGCCCCGCCAATGTAATCTCATCTTTGTTCCTTCTCATATCAACTGCTGGCATTGAAGATATCAGCTCCATAAGCACAACCCCAAAACTATACACATCACTTTTATCGGTCAGCCTAAAGCAATAGTAATATTCTGGATCAAGATAGCCTGGTGTTCCTTGTGGAGCCGTAGAAACATGCGAGACATCATTTGGGAACAACCTAGAAAGTCCAAAATCTGCAACCTTAACACAGAAGTTCTTGTCAAGGAGAATGTTGTTGGTTTTGACGTCACGATGGATGATGCCGGAAGCATGAAGGTAAGCCAAAGCACTGGCAGTTTCTATGGCGATTTTGATTCGAACAGGCCAAGTCAGCAACGCAGGATTTGCAAAGCTGCCACGTAGGTGACTGGCAAGGGTGCCATTTGGGATGTATTCGTAGACAAGAAGGAGCTCACGGCTCTGACGCGAAGTGCAGCCATAGAGACAGACAAGATTTTTGTGACGCAGGCGAGTGAGGATCTCAACTTCAGTCATAAACTGTTCCACTCGCTTGTAGTTGTGGTTGAATAGGTGTTTCACTGCAACTTCACGCCCATCTTGAAGCTTCCCTTTAAGTGAAATAGCTTAAAAGTTCAAAAACTTTATGAAGTAAAATACAAGATTATGGGAAAGAAATGAGAGTGATTGGTCAGATTACCATAGAAAACAGAGCCGAACCCTCCGTCTCCCAGTTTGTTGGAAGGGTCAAAGTTATTGGTTGCGCCTTGAAGCTCCGTGTAGGAGAAGATTGGGACTCCAAAGAAGAGTCTGCCACTGTCTGGGTCTGCATCACTTGGGTATTGATTTGATGATCGGAATCTGACATGGGACACAGCATTCTGTTTGTGCTTGTAGAGTCCGAAACAGAGCAGCAAAGCTAACAACAGAATGCCTAATCCTGCTCCAAAACCTGATCAAGCGTCAAGTCCTTGAGAATTTTCACTTAATTCACCGAAAGATTATCTTTATGTGAATACAGTAAAAACGAAGTAAAATTACCTATTAGCAATCCATGCTTCCAGCATGTCTTTTATGTTGATCTTCTGTCTCAGCTTGATCTTTTCCTACAATTTAGAGAAGCAGCTATGAAATGGACCAATCCAGTCTCGGGAGTTCATTAGATTATCCCCCAAAAAAAAAAAGGAAAAAAAAAAAAGAATAAGTCGAGCTTATTTGATTAGTTGACTGGCATACAAAGGACCTAGTAAAAAATTCTCGTGTTACTTTTTAGACCCAAGAAATTCTCATATTCTGTACTATATGTTATGCATACCTTTAAATTTGAGACAATAAAATCCTCCGGTGCTGTTGAGCCGGCATAAGCCTTTCTCAAAATGACGACATTGATCACAAGCAGGAGAAAGCTGAACACTGATGCGGAATTCAGAAGCTATGAATGTAAATGGATCAGCAGAGAAAGCCCGCGTGTTTACTGGAACCTGAACCCTTGGACATGCTGCCAAAGAAGATGGAGGATCATCTTCATCTTGCGTGCTGAAGAAGATGGTCTCATTCTTACTCTGACCACATCCTGTATAGTTCAAGAATTGCTTTGGAAGCCTGTAAGGGAGCGAACTATTACATTTGTACATGATCATACTTGACCACATATGAAAGGAACCCAAGGGCGAGCTTGGAGGAAGAGTAACATTGCAGCACAAGGCATCACAACTATCATTTACCAAACGCTTCTGCAAATCTGCGTCTCTAACAAAAACTGCAGTATTGAAACCGTCTACTCCCCTCACCTGAAGGTTGTTTTTTCCTAATTGCACAGTTTTGTCATCGTTGGGGTGTTCACAGCCATGAATCGCCAACATTCCACAGTCTTTGCGTTGTGGAGTGGTTAAAGGGAACGAGAGATTGCCCAGACTCCCACATTCAAAGAAAGGTGGGCAATCTCCAGTAGCTGAGGATAGAAGAAGCACATGGTCAGCCAACAGGAACAAGAAGACGACGACGAACAAATAAACACGTACATCCATTCTTCTAAAACTCTCACTCAGAGAGAAAAAGTTTAATATACAAGACTCTGGTTGTTTGAAGCAAGAGGCAAATACTTGCTTCAACGTTTTATCCAGTTGGAGAAGCAAGTCTTGCAATTTCTTCCGCGTGGAAGACACCACACAAGTTGAAGCTCCGCGACACGGCAGTTGACTTGGCTGAAAGACCAGACCAGACCAACAACATGATTCAGACACGTGTCCTTCCCTCACATTATGTGCTTTACGCCCTTTCTTATCAATACTAATGTTTGGTCCTTAATTAAATAAGCTGAATAATCAACAGTACCAGTGCAAACTTTATATCAGGTTTTATAGGGATAAATATACTGGGAAAATTGGGAGGAGGAAAAAAGGCCAACAAGGAATTGTACATGTGAAAAAAAAAAAAAAAAAAGCAGAGGAATGAATAATTAAGCAGAAAGGTGAATGATATGGAGGGAAAACCATTGACTCAACTTTGATAAAGCGTGTCGTGGAGGTGGAACACGTTAGAACTTTTGGAAAAGCTCATGTGCTGCGCCGTGCCTAATACGAAAGCTGGATCACTCTTCAGATTAGATAGACACGTTTTGGAATTAATTAAAACTATCTTCAAAAAAAAAATCGAAAAGCTTACCTTTTTTGCAATAACACTTGACCAAGAAATAAGCATGACAATTAATAATCATGCTGTCAGGTTTGATCATCCAACAAAGACAATTATATGGAGCTACTTAGAGCTGTCAATAAGGGCTAGTTCGGCCCTAAAGGGCCTGCCCTTGAAGGGCCAGGGCCTAAAAGGACTGGCCTTTTAAAGCCCACATACCTTAAAATTATCTAATTATTAAAGCCCAGCCCTTAGGCATGCGGGCTCAGGGCTTAAAAGGGCTGACCCTTTTATGTTTTTTTTTTTTAAATTTAAATTCTTTTTAATTATTTTAAAATAAAAAATAAAACAACAAAACTTCTAAGATTTTTTATTCAAATTATAAATATAAGTAAAATAAATTAGTGGTGTATAGAAAAAAAAAATTAAATGCCAATAAACTATTGTCCAAATAAAAAAATCAAAATCTAACAAACACGAAAAACGAAAAACAGAAAGATAAAACCTAGCAGTTAAAGATTAACAATATCAACATAATTATTATCTTTATCTTCATCTTCATCAGTATCATCAATATCAGCAATATTTGATTCTTCTTTACTACAAGTGAGCTCTTCTTCAGTGATAAAAAATATTAGGTTTTTGTCTTCATTTACCTTATATAAAATAAAACTATGCAGTAGTTATAAGTACAAATAAGAATATGAACATTTGTTCGAATGAGAAAAGTTTTACACTTTGTTAAGATATGTAAACCGATGGTAAATGAAAATCTACTAGCTATTATGGTAATTAAAATGTTAAGAATATCAGTTACCATTCTTGAAAGAATTGAAATTGATTTTAATTGTTCTTCCATAAGTCCAAGACATTTAATTCTTTTCAATTATCTAGCTTGAGTATTGACTCTTCTAGGTATTTTTCTAATTTAAACTTATTCATAAAAGACTATCTATGACTTTATAAATATATTGATAATAAAAAAAAAATAGGCGGGCTTAAAAGGGCTAGCCCTTGGCCCTAAAGGGTTGGCCCTTTTATTTTTGAACCCTACAGGGCTAGCCCTTTTAAGCCCAATTTTCTTTTAAACCACCTAAAATACAAGCCCGGCCCTCTATTTAAAAGGGCTTAAAAGGGCCGGCCCAATGGGTTTGGTCCGTTTTGACGGCTCTAGAGCTACTTAAATACTACCGCCATCTTCAATATAAGTACTGGTGGACTAATCTAAATAGATTAAGTAAGTTAAATCAATCATTTGATTATAATGAATGTGACATAAATTTTTTAAAATATTCATGTATAACATTAGATCAATTTATAAGTTAAGTAAATTAGTTTATACAATAATTATAAATATGTGAAATAAAGTAGATTAAGACTTTATATTTAAAATCAAATGTAATCTCATAACTAACTTTTGTATTACGGATCAGAGATAGTACATGATAGTTGTCGTTTCTTAAAATTTTGTTATCGTCTTGTATAATTAGATTTTCTCTTTCTTAAAGTGAAATAAGCGTTTATTTTCAATTCACGCTTTTCCTAATAATTCTCTCATAAGCACCAAAATTCTGGCAACCGGCTGTCAGAGATCCATGGCCGTCAATAGAGGAAGTTTCTTTTCTCCCCTAACATAAAGGTAATAACTAATAAGGTGTAATTTAATTAAAAAAGAAATCAATTAATTTCAAAACAGTTCCTAAAGACCTTATAAAAACTAAGCCATTTTGGTGAATAATTTTAGGATTTGCTTATTTCCAAAGTCATTACATGTTTTTCCCATAGGTTCTCCAACGCAGTCGCAGCTTCTATGGCGATTTTGATTCAAATAGGCCATGGTGTTGACGTACAGTTCGATGCCCTTGAAGATGACTAGCGACACCGCCATTTGACATGGTATTCATAGACAACGATGAGGTCTTGGCTTAGGCTTGAAGTGCAACCATATAGAGACACAACTTCTTAACTTGAGAAGCAAGAAGTAAGATGCAATTAGAATAAAAGATCGCAGCAGAAAACGGACTATGAAATACAAATAAGCTTAAAGGCTGAAATTAGCAGTAGATTCACTGATCCATTTTACAGTGACACTATTTGGTGAAAATGATGCCTTCACCAACTCTGCCTGATCATAGCTCATTGGAGTCTCCCTAGATCGTGTATCTGCATCAGCTTTACCTTCCTCTAGATCCCTACCTTCTTCTTTCTCACTCTCAATTTCCCTCAAAATTTCTAATCAGAATCGCCATAGAAACATGCGAGAAGCATAGAAACATGTGAAAACCTAGAAAGTCCAAAATCAGTAACCTTAACACAGAAGTTCTTGTTAAGAAGAATGTTGTTGGTTTTGACGGCATGATGGATGATGCTGAAAGCATGAAAGTAAGCCAAAGGACTGACAGTTTCTATGGCGATTTTGATTCAAATAGGCCACGTCAACAATGTAGGATCTACGGAGTTGCCACGAAGGTGACTGGCAAGGGTGCCATTTGGGATGTATTCATAGACAAGAAGGAGCTCACAGCTCTGATGTGGAGCGCAGCCATAGAGGCAGACAAGATTTCAATGACGCAGATGAGTGAGGATATCAACTTCTGTCATGAACTGTTCTACTCGTCTGTAGTTGTGGTTGAATAGGTGCTTCACTACAACTTCACGCCCACCTTGAAGCTTTCCTATAAATAAAAAGAAATAGCTTTAAAGTTGAAAACTTAGACATGAAAAGTACGAGATTAAAGCAATTGAGAAGGGGACCATAGTAAATAGAGCCGTAGCCGCCGTCCCCAAGTTTCTTGGAGGGGTCAAAATTGTTGGTTGCGCCTTGAAGCTCCCTGTAGGAGAAGATTGGGACTCCAAAAAACAGTCTGCCACTGTCTGGGTCTGCATCAGTTGGGCATTGATTCGTTGATCGAAGTCTGACATGGGACATAGCGTTCTGTTTCTGTTTGCAGAGTCCGAAGCAGAGCAGAAATGATAATGTCAGAATGCCTAATCTCACTCCAAAACCTGAGTACAATTATAAGTCTTTAACTCAAAGATTATCTGTGTTGTTTCTTAGGAATCTCATAATGTGAGTACAATCAGAAGTTCATAACATCGATATAGTTATACAGGATCCTAAGTAATTATGTGGGGAAGATAGCTGAAAATGAGTGAAAATGAAGTAAAATTACCCATCTTCAATCCCAGCTTCCCAGCCCGTCTTTCTGCCTCAGTTTAATTATAATTAATTAGGTTGCATCCACAAAAAATAATTATAAGCAGAATTGACAGGCATACATATGGCCATCTAAGAACGAACGAGGAAAATTAACTGAACCAGATAAATTCTCATTTGTTGTACTGAGACAATAAAATTCTCTGGTGCTGTTGAGACGGTATGAGCCTTTGTCAAAAAGACATTGAACACAACCAGGGGAAGGCTGAAAACTAACACGGAATTCAGAAGCTATGAACGTAAATGGATCAGCGGAGAAAGCCAGCTTATTCACTGGGAGCTGAACCCTTGGACATGTTGCTAAAGGAGGTGGAGGGTGAACCTGATCCTGCTTTCGGAAGAAGATGGTCTCATTCTTACTTTGAACACATCCTGTATAGTTCAAGAATTGCTTTGAAAGACTCTGATTGAGTGGAATATTGCATTTGTACATGGTTATATTTGGCCAGATATGAAAGGAACCCAAAGCTGAGTTAGGAGGAACAGTAATATTGGAACGAAAGGCGTCACAACTATTAGTTGCCAAACGCTTCTCCAAATATGCGTCTCTAACGACAACTTCAGGAAGCAACCCGAGTTCTATCCTCGTCATTTGAAACATCTTTTTACCCAATTTTATAGTTTTTTGAGCATTGGGGTCTTCACAGCCATGAATCGGCAACATCCCATAGTCTTTGTGCACTGCGGTAGTCAAAGGGAACTCGAGCTTGCCTAGATTCCCACAGTCAAGGAAACTTGGGCACTCATCTTCTGAAGCAGAATGGTCAGCGAACAATAAGAAGAAGAAGAACAAAAGAACAGGTAGAACCATTCTCCTGAAACCCAATCTCAGAGAAAAAAGTTTGATGTGCTAGGACTTTGATTGTTTCATCAAGCAATAACTAGGTTGAAAGCTTTATCAGGTGGGGAATCAAGGTTGCAATTCGTTCCCCATGGAACACTCAACACAAGTCCAAGCTCTATGACACGGCAGTTGACTTGGCCAAAAGAACTAGGACTAGGCCTAGGCCTAGGCCTAGTCAAGACGAAGACCAAGATGAAGAAGCCGAATGAGAGACACGTGTCTTCTCTCAACATAATGTGCCTCAAACACACTCTTATCAATACTAATGTTTGGTTCTTAATTACTTATGTTCACAGTTGCAAATATCATCTAATAAATAAGCCGAATAATCAACATTGCAAGTGTAAAACTAATACCAGGTTTCACGAGGATAAATAAATAAGCAGATGAATTAATAATTAAGCAGAAAGGTGAATCATATAGACAAAAGGCCTTGACTCAAACCTTTGATAAAGAGTGTCGTAGACGTGGAACACATTAGAAAATTTTGAAAGAGCTCGTGTGATAAGTTTCTGACAAAGAAGCAGGATCCCTCTTCAGATTAGATATGCACTTTTATGTTACCTTTTGATTGACATGCCAATACAAGTGAAATAACATCATATGAGGATAGTCTATAGAATGAAGTGGGGTTTTTTTTTTTTAAATTATAACTCAGAATATCAGATTTGTATTCTTCTTCTTGTTAGGATGAAATTACTTACCATCTTAACTAACAGTTTGTTAGTAATAAAAGTACAATTTTTATTTATATTTAACAACATTTTGTTCATATGCTTATGATTTATGAAAATATAACTTTTATATTATGTTGCATTTTGCAGAACAGCTAATGTTGTATTTATAACATCTGATTCTGCAATAGATTCTCCTCAAGAATTAAAGAACGGAAAATGAAAAGCCAATCAATATTTGCTTCTCTTGCCACTTGATTGTTTTGACGATCGGTACTTATTTGGTTGTCTCATTTGCTTATGAATGTTTGTTGTTATGTCGTGTAAGGCTGAGATGGATAAATGCAAATAAATAACAAATACACTCATTGGCTTTGCAAATATTCCGTCTTTAACTGTCTCCATGATTTGTAACTGTATAGAATCAACGATTTGGAATTAGCTAAACTATCTTCAACTGTAGCGTTTGCCTCTGTGCTTTTGTTTCATCAGAGGATTTGATGAGAAGGAGACTGAACTAGATGCTTACAACGACATGGAGGTTCTAGAGAACTTCATTACAAACCAAAATGAAAGTTTAAGGACTCACGCTCAAATAATTACATGATATAAAGAATTTACTACAAAAATTTGAAATCCAGAAGCTTCTTTCCAAATTGAGGTAAACAACAGAAAAAAAATATATTAATTTTTTGCAATAATACGTGACTGAGAAAGAAGCAGTGGCATATATACGAGCATGACAAGTATTCATGATAGCAGCAGAACATGGACCAAGAATTACAAATAGGCTTAAAGATTTTAAAACGCTGCAATTTGTTCATTCATTGGTCCATTTCACAGTGACACTATTTGGTGAAGAGGATGACTTAAACAGCTTTGCCGGATCATAGCTTATTAAAATCTCCACAGGTCATGTATCTGTATCAACTTTATCTTCCTTTAAGATTAACTGATACCGTTGACAGGGAGATACTCCCTTTGTTCCTTATTATAAGAAACATTTGATGTTTATGACATGTTTCCATATATAAGAGACATTTAAAAGTTGTCTCTATTTTTTTGTATTGATTTCCTATTTTACCCTTATTTATTTTGTCTCCAACTCACACTCTCCCTCCCTCCCACTTCTCTTTCTTTTAATAATTTAATTATTCTCTCTCTCCTTATTAATTGGGGCATTGTTGGAAAAAATATTATACTTTTTACACATTAATTGCCCTCAACTAATTTTAACTGTTTTTTTTATCAACGTAATTTGATTATTTGTCTCTTATAATAAGGAACGGAGGGAGTAAGTAATTATTTTCTTAGTGAATTAAGTTTCAGTTTTGTTTTTTGTATTTTCTTTGAATTTATTTTTCTTTTCTAGTTTAGGTTGCTTGCATATCATTAAAATTCTTTTTTAAAAAAAATGATCCTGATTTTATTTTAATTTTTAATTTATTTGTTTTTTAATTTTTTTTTGCATACCTCGCATTGCATTTTGCATCGTTGTGTTTGTACTTGAATATTCTTTTTTTTGTTGCCCACTCAGTTCAGCTTTGCTCTGACTACATCTGAATCCAACCCCGTTGCGCACCTGGCTGTGGTGGGTGAGTTTCCCAACGGAGATTTCTGCATACGCTGATGCTCGAACTCAAAATCTTGTTTAAGTGGTACCAAGTCGCTACTAACTTGGACCAACCCCCATTGGTACTTGAATATTCATTTGCTTTCACACATTGTTGTTCTGAATTTCTTTGTGCATGACCAGAGATAAAGAAACCATATTTGACGATCTTGAGCTTGACATACCTTTGAAACAATTTAAAAGGAAAAATAAGAAAAAGAGTCAATAGAGTTATAAGAAACTTCTTTTAGAGCAACACATTCCTAGTGTACTTAATCGAACCAAAGACTGCATAAACTTTTATCTATATAACTAGAATAAAGATGCTTAAAAATGTTGGATAGATTTCATTTCATAAGAAAACACTCAAAGAAGTTAGTTTTAACTATTTAAAAAACATGGACAGTAGCATGAATACAAGAATTTTGCATTGTTTTCATGCTTAATATGTATATAGTGACTCTTGTGAGTCACACGTTATTTTGTTGACTTAGAGTCTATTTGAATTGACGGTAGAAAAAATAGTTTATTTTTAATCTAACTTTTAGAAAAGTAATATTGGATAAAAAGTTAAATTGGATAAGTTAAATTATACTTGGATTGAAATTTAAAAAAGTTAGTTTGTAAAAATAAGATTGGTAAAAGATTGTTTGGATTATGATTGAATAAAAGTAAGTATGTTTGTAAAATTACCAAAATGGGTGTAAATTTCAATAAATAATGAAACATGATTAAAACAATGATTTAACATAATACAATGAATTTAAATTAATTTAATATAAAGAAGTGAAATTTAATGAGTAAATTAAATATTAAAACTTTAGAGAAATCATAGAAAATATTTTAAATATAAAGTGAAACATGATTAAAAAAAATAAATGTACATAATATAATAAATTTAAATTAATTTAATATGAATAAGTGAAATTTAATAAGTGAATTAAAATAAATCAACTGTACAACAATAATAGAAATACTACCATTTTTCAGTTTTGTCTTTTGTCTGTAACATTTATGAAACACTTCTGTTGGGCGAGAGGGGCAGCGTGTCAGCAGAGACTAAGAAAGTGGGGGGACCAAAAAAAAAACACAGAGAGAAGTAGCAGACGGCAGCGGAGAGAAAAAGAAAAGGAGAGAAGTTGCTCCCAATAAATTTTCTGACACGCACCCAACAGCCCCTAAATAAGCTCTTCTCAAACTTCAATAAGCTACTCTTCCTGGCATAATTTATACCCGCACACTCGCACAGTCAGCCAGCTTATTTCCATCAAGCCCCATATGTTATAAGCCCTCCCAAATATTGGATCAATTTTCAATGGGGCTTGTGTTAAAATTAAGTCACGTTTGTACACCAAAAAAATAAAAAAATTAAGTCACGTTTGGGCCAGCGTCATGCACTTATTCAAAGGGTAAAGATAAAGGCTAACTCGCAACGATTCTTCAAAAGCAGCAAAACATGGAGCACGGACCATCATGGATAGCAAAAGAACTAAGGGACGTAAAAATAAACTTTTTTTTTTTAAAAAAAAAAAGAGCTCCGGGATCAGACACTAAACAACAGCTTTGCTTGACCAATTAATAAAAATAAAAATAAAAATCGTTTCAGAAAAACGAACGCTAAACACTAATTGAACTACTTCTTATCCACATATTGTTCAATTCAATTCTTTTAGGTTTCCGTTCTACTCCGAGTAAATGTCTAGTCAATTTATATTTGCACACACAGCACTTATAGGAGGAAAAGCCAATTATAATCAGGCCAACACTTCCAATGGCTGTACCTATAGGAGGAAAAGCCTTGAAAATTTAATCAATTCTTGGAGTATAGCAGCCGTGAACAGATTGACGGTTGACGTAAAAGCACTAGCAGTTTCTATGGCAATTTTGATTCAAACAGGCCACTTCAACAATGTAGGATGTGCATAGCTGCCACGTAGGTGACTGGTATGGGTGCCATTTGGGATGTATTCATAGACAAGGAGGAGCTCACAGCTCTGGTGCGAAGTGCAACCACAGAGGCAGACAAGATATCAGTGATGTATGTGAGTAAGGATCTCAACTTCAGTCATGAACTGTTCCACTCGCTTGTGGTTGTGATTAAACAGGTATTTCACTGCAACTTCACGCCCATCTTGAAGCTTCCCTATAAGTGAAATAGCTTAAAGGTCAAAACTTTATGAAGGAGAATTCAAGATTGTAGGAAAAGAAATGAGAGTGATTCATCTGATTACCATAGAAAACAGAGCTGAAGCCTCCGTCTCCAAGTTTGTTGGAGGGGTCAAAGTTATTGGTTGCGCCTTCAAGCTCTGTATAGGAGAAGATTTGGGACTCCAAAGACGAGTCTGCCACTATCTGGGTCTGCATCATTTGGGTATTGATTTGTTGATCGGAGTCTGACATGGGACACAGCATTCTGTTTGTGTTTGTAGAGTCCGGAGCAGAGCAGCAAAGCTAATATCAGAATGCCTAATCCTGCTCCGAAACCTGATCAAGCGTCAAGTCCTTAAGAATTTTTGCTTAATTCACCGAAAGATTATCTTTATTGCTTAGGAATCTCATAATGTGGATACAGTAAAAACGAAGTAAAATTACCGATTAGCAATCCATGCTTCCAAGCCTGTGTTTTATTTTGATCTTCTGTCTCAGCTTCATCTTTTACTACAATTTAGAGAAGCAGATAT